TGAACAAATGGTAAAATGCACATTCCAGGCAAATATTGACCTCATGTAGGGTCAGAGTTCAAACCAGGCATTGCTATTATTGCATATAACCACCAAATATATGTCTGTGCTGTATTATTATAGGAGGGTAGACTATTTCACCCAGCACGTACAAGTTATTGATTTCAGAAATTATAAAAGTAATGCTGGAATCCATAGAAACTTCTATTAAAACTAAATAAACTGCTGGAATCAATTCAACGGTCAAAAATATGCAAGTATCCAAGGGATCTATAATTTATTTCACTTGAAAAAACTGAATATAAATAATATCAAACATACTGATTGATTCCAAGCAGGTCTTGCCTATAATTATATTTATAGACTTGGCACAATGTAGCATACAGTGCGAACTAACAAGGAATGGTCGATCAATCACAGATTCTCAATGAATGTACACAGTCTACTACTAGTGACCGACTCAGCTCGCTGGTTAAACATGCATCTTTACCTCCGTGCATCAAACACTTGATGAGGAATTCTATGGAATGCTTCTCAGAAGGGTCTCATTTCTGACTTCCCCTTCCAATGCTGAAAACACACTCGATTACGGCCGTCAATTCAGTGCAAGACAAGCATGTAACAAACAATGCAACTGTAGCTTGTACAATATCAAATGAACTGGAAGGGGAACGGAATTTGTAATATAATAATTATTCGGATCTCAACCAGCGATGACTCAGCGTTCAGTAACAGTCTGTGTTTGCATAATTGTTTATAATTTTTACTCTGTAAATATAAGCACGGAAACTTGAAATATGGTCAACAACAACACAAGTAAACACCATGTGACATAGTTCTCAGTTTTGCTCGCTATTCGGTTGAAAACGTGTGCACATGTCTATCATGTCAAAACACATATGAACTATAAAAGTTTCCAATTCAGTGAGCTTATATAGTCTCCGTCTAGGATGGGTGAGTAAATATTCAACTAAACTTATGTCCGGAATCAAGCAAACGTTTCTATTTTCGTTACTCACAAAATGCCCAGAATAGACATCGGCCCCATGGGTTGGATTTTGTTTACATCTACGTGAAATGGGCTCATGGAAAACTGCCCTTGAATAAGGCACAGTAGTAAAAGAGACAGCCTCTATTCATTTGCGTTGTTTAGAACTGCACTAAAGCAATAGCACAACTGTAGAGTCTGTAAACAATGCACTGAATGGACGTCAACACAAAGGACAGTTGAATGCCAATCCACAGAGAGCGGCTCACTCGGCCATATCATGTTAAGATTTCTTCGCTCATTGTATATATTAAAGAACTATAGTTTTATTTTTATTTTTATTACTGTCTACAGTGCATGTAGAGAACGCAAACATAATTATAGAATCAGCAAATCAACGCTATCTGGCACTCAGGGGAAACCCAATGCTGTTTAGATTACCATGTGTTCCATTTATAAAGTACACAGAGAGATGCCCATTTCACTCTAACACTACCTATCAAAGACTTAGAGAACTCATTGCTGATAATGCCAGTAAAATTTCTAGCACTCCTAATTTGATTCCTTCTCATGCTAAAATAAATCCCACTTGTAACTCAATCTTCACACAAAAAATTGATCAGTGAATTGGTCCGTTATTTTTTAGTCTATAATAACGTTACTTCATGATTTGGTTAGTGACAAGAAAATCCTGTGAACTTAAATCAATGATTTCCCCTATCAAATAGTCTGGCAAAAAAAAAATGTTAAAACAGTCTGTTACTCCTCTCTTGGCAGTCAACTTTTCTTATGACCTAGCCTGTTCCTACGATTGTTTTAAAGAAAGAAAATGCAATTATCCAACTTTCAGTGCACAGCTGATAGAGCTGTTAGGTTTGTATAACTTTGAAGGAATTTTTGTCTTCTGCCAGCGGCGAAACAAAATCGTAGTCACAATTAGTACGTTTTGACGTATCTTCCCTAATCAGAAACATACACAGGTGTTATACACAAGTGTATTAACGGCATCATGTGTTCAACAAATGATTGATTTCAATTTCTCCCAAGCAATATGTTTTTTTTTCTTTATTAATTTGCATTCTTTGAGACAAACCTTGATCTCAACTCCAAGAAGATGACCCACATTTTGTTTTGTATGACTAACAGCCAATATAATTAGTCTTTTCATTGTAAAAGTATCACAATTACAATTGAACAATACCATACTGATGAGCCACACTCCTGAAGTGACATCAATGTTATTCACACATAACTGAATTTGAAGCTTTATTTAATTTGCATTTCAGACCTCCAATTATAGTTAAACAACAAGGCCAATTAGACAACACAAAAAACACATGCTGTTTTTTATTCTCACTTTAAGTACTGACACCATGTTAAAAAAAAAAACATTAATTGTTCTGGGGTGAAATGGAGATATATTTTAATTAAGGTCAATTTACAAAGATTTTAAACATTGAAGAGAGAGAATGTTATGACAACAATGTAGCTAGGTATTTATTAGCTTTTGACGTTATGAATAGTGAATTCTATGTTTATACACTCAAGAACACATTAGTTGCTTCCTTGTACACAGCATACAAGCTAAATTGCATTTACTGGCATACACATCACTGCACTCACTCAGTTTTCAATGAGGAATAATTCCCACCAAACTAGAGTTATATTTTCATTTGTTGACTTGCTTAAAAATTCAAATATGTATCCCGTCAGAAATGTAAGATTTTGAGACACTGGTTTGGTGGGTCAAATTGAGAACAGAGATATCTCAAGCTCAATGGCATTCATCATTGCATTACTACTCCCTTGACTGATTCTTACAAAGCGGAATGATAAGCTCGGAATTCCTTCATCTCTGCTTTACTTTTCAAAAGTGATATATTAGACAACCCCTACACGGTAATAGCTCTATACAGACATTGCCAAGGAATATCTTTTTTAATCTCACTTATTCTGTGAATTGAATTCTGCACATTTCAACTCTTAGCAAAACAAAATATTTCAAATGATAACATGCCATAAATATTGCTAAGAAATGTGTAATATTTTTTACACAGCTGAAATTGGCAAAAATCAATGTAAAATTTGTCTTTATTTCGATTTTAGATCCCTCCATTTTGAATGCTATGAATGAGTCATTGAGTTCCAGCTCATCAATTTATTCTGACAAGAGATCTTACTCTATCCAGTATGGCTTACCCATACAAACGAGACTACACTAGAACAAATTTCTCAACATTGAATTAGCTGTTTTTACTTCTTAAAATTTGAAAATGTTCCCCTAGCAAGCAAATGCATCTCACCCAATATTTTATGTTATTAATCCTAAGACACTTTTATATTTTTAGATACACTGCGCAGTATAAAAATACTCTCCATTGAACTCCATGTTCTGGGTGTGGAATTTTTATTATATTTCAGTCTATACAAACTCAAAATAAGCACTCCAGCACATTAAAATATGTAACAAAAATGCATTAGTAAATATTTATAGATACCAATCCTCTGTCAGCACTGCCCCGCCCACTTAGTAAAAAAAAATTCTGAACAAAAAATAGGAATAGTATTCAATACTACGTTATTTCAAAGAAATCTGCTTTCTGTCGTGATCAGTTTCAATGTGAAATATCGGGGTCAGTTCCATTCATGGAATATATGTATACTGAATTTCAATGAATTCAATAAAAAACAAGCGTAGGACTCGAAGCCAATTACATGCGAATACCGCTCAAACATGGAGAACATGCACATGCATACAATCCATGCTGATTGGCATATACACAGACTCGTGAACATGGTTTTTGAGAATTTCACACATTTCATCACTGAAGTGCTTTTGTGTGTTCAACTGAGTAGAGGCCAAGTACAAAAGGGTTGACAACTACCCTATCATAATTGGGGTTGTTGATCTAAAATATTCATTCTATGACTGATTTGAAATCTCCATGGTGATAATGAGAACTTTCAAATTATGACCAATTTTTACAAATATTTAGATTCCGAAGCACTTTCGAAATTGTTACTAGGGACTTCCATCTGTGATTATTTTACAAGATACCAGAAACCCGAGGACAAACTTGAGAGAAAACATTGGTTCATGCAGGGTGGCTTGGAATGTGAACCACCCCCTCCCCCCCTCTTGATTACAAGCTTATTAAATTCCTGATGGGCACTGTGCTTTCTCAACCAATCAGACATACACACTGCCAATTTAAATCTCACTGCCAGCACAGTAATTTGGTACATGATTATTTTATAAACAGCATGTTATCATTTTATCACACAAAATCACATTTATTATTTTTTTCAGAAGTTACTGTCATGATATGATGCAATAATTGCGTTGAGTTGACCAACAGGATGTCCTTTTGGAGAATTAAACAAAAGAAATTGTTGATGGTCATTTGCAATGTGCCATTCACCATGCAACCCACACAATCTTATCAGAATACACCCACACTAGCTGATCCAGTGCACAGCATACCACCAACATACTTATCTTACTCATGACACTCGTCTCTGATTTATAAATTGTTAGCATATTAGTGTCCAGTGAGAAGTATTGACCTTTCCGTCACTCTGTATTTCAATTTGTTTATTCAATTTTAAATTATACAACTTTTGAAATTTAATCACAAAGACATTTTTTGGCAAATATTATTATTAAAAAAGTTTCAAGGAATGACAGCTGCTCAGTGTATGTGTTTATAACATGCATTTAGCAACTAAATATGTAATGATTATTTAGTGAATAAACAAAGACAGGAATCATGGTTGTAGGGGGGATAAGCTGAACCAACAGCCTCTACTGCAAAAGGACTAATCTCCAAAAATGAAAAAAACACACCACCCTTAGTTTGAAAACTGACTCCAACTCTAATCTTGCTAAGCTTAGTAATACTGTAAGGGGATATTCAATCAGTGATGCATGGTTATTGTTGCTTTGCAATGTTTTATCTTTTACTGGGAAGTTAATTATACTTGTTTAACAAAAAGAGAAAAAGAAATTTACCTTGGCAAGCTCGGTCACTAGTTGCTTCATAGCCAGGAGAGCAGGCACAACTCCCATCTATCAAAGTCCATGTGCCATCACTTTGACATTGGTACACAGGATTCTCTGGTCCAATCGGTTGTGAGAAGTCAATGCAATCACCTGTAACTTGCACAAGTGCTGTGGATTTTGGTCCAGCTGGAGTCTTCGGGAAATAGGCAAAGTTCATGGTGATTTCTTGACAGGCTAGATAATATACTTTCAGCTTGAGAATAGCCAGACATGATCCTTGGTCTTGAAATGCTAAATAAAATCCATTGCGTGTTATTGGTCCAAAATGTCGGGTTTTCGTATTGATCACTTCTGTGTCATGTGTAAAACGTCCATCAGCTGCAATACGATCAACTTTGTTGTAAGGGGGCGATGACCATGGAGGCCAGTTCTGGTCAGCGTTATCACTATCAGTCTCATAATAGTACAAGTCAAATGTTTCCTTGCAAGACACAGCACCTGGAATATCAACACATTCTCGCATCGAAAAGTCAATCTCAACAGCCACTCGGTTGGCTTGTTTCGCATCAATCCACGTAGTCCGAAGCCAGTTATTTTGCCTCCCACCATTGGCAAAACGGCAAATTTGATAACGCCTTCCTCCACTTGGACCAGTCTCTGTCCACTGTTTTAAATTAAGGAATAAATAGACAAAATATTAAAATTGCTACAAACTATTAGTTGTCTATTGTTTATCCCACTCAAAGCTCTAAGTCATGGGTGTTCAAATTATGTAATACACACTAACTAAAATCAAGTTAAGACAGAAACAAAATTATCACTTTCATGTTCATGTTTTGACCTGCAAAGAATTTTACAACCAGATTTCTTGTACAAATGAGAATATTTTCTATTGAAAGCTGTAAATGTTTATTGGCACAACACAGATGGCCTCATTGTCAACTCTTTGAAAAATAAACTACCCCCAGTAAATGTGATTAGGTTATCAGTTGTGGGGTGTCAAGCAAACAGTTAATGTTGTTACCAGGAAGCTTAAGTGAAGTGTAAATATGTCTGGCTTCCTAAAACCATCAAGTACCTGGACCACTGAAAATAATACGTTTGTGTACGCCTTTAATTAAAGTACGATAGTGGAAATATAATCAAACTAACTGTGTCGACTTTACTCACCTCTGGTTGTACTGACGATGTTTCATGGTAGGTCGTCCATCCTAAACTTCGCTGGTCTTGTGAATTATACAGGGGAACTGTGAACGTAAAGGGAAATTAAAATAAGACGGTTTATTTATTTACATACGCGCACGTTTGCAACTGTTTACTTTTTGTTTACCTCTTTGGTCAATTGTCGATTCCACTGAAAATAACAGTTTTGATAGATAGAATTATTATGCTGGGTATTGATTCCTGGTGTATATCATTAGCACCCCGAAGCGGCCACTCTTAAAATGTTGTCTGAAACAACAAGAGTTGTGAAAGGAGACTTTCGCAGACTATTGTTCAGGCGGAATGTGTCAAAAACTTTTTACTGATTTGAGACAATTATAAAGTCTCCGCTACTACAATTGACCTAGCGTACTGTAACTAGTTTTTACGTGCTTACTGTTAATGTGAAAGAGTCAGTTTTATGGGCCTGTGTCTTTATGTAGTTACCGCAAAGCAACGGTAAGGTTAATTGCAGACGACAGGACCACTGATAACGGGGAAAAACAAGGCGAACGACCGCAAAATCGTCACGCTTGTCTCGTCTTTCGTCTGCAGATAATGTTTCCTAAAATTTCATGTGAGTAAAGTCGTCATGAGACGCAAACCAAGATCGTCCTAATAACAAAATACAAGTTTAATTGCGCACAAAGTTTCTAAGCTGGTCATACTCTGTGAGGTTGTTCTGATTCAAAATGACGTAAGTTTTAGTAATTTCGAGGTTATTCCCAAAATTCACAACGGAAGTCGACGATCAAACGTGAAACATTAAACACCGCTGCACTCAAATTCAAATGCCGGGAACATTCACTTGTTTTGCTAACCTACGCACATATCCACAGTAAATGATTACAGTGTAACGAGTACAGAGAAATTGTGTTAGTGTGTGCATGGAAATCAAATGAAAGGCAGGAAAAACAGTCTGACGAACGATTCAACGAAGTTGATAGTACTGAAGGAGAGGTCAACACAGCTGACGACGCGATCGAATCAATTTTAAAATGCCGGGATAGAAAGTATGTTTTCATGCGGCAAAGAACTCCATAAACTTCACTGGTCATGGAACTGTATAATCTAATGCATTGCAACTCAATGCACTTACCTTGTAGACAGACTGTGAGAGTTAAAACGGCAAGAAAGACTGTTAAAAACAACGTTGAAGTTGGAGAAAGTGTAAACCCCGTGGTCGCCATGTCGCGTACTCTCATGAAAATGATTGAAACTCCACACACTGGGCGAAACTATTCAATGACAGGGATGGTCGCTCCAGTATCGATGGACGGTATCAGCTTTCGGGAATACCCAAGGGAATCGTTTTCCTTATCTTGTCTATAGAGGGCATACATTGTAAATTAACTTTAACCCTAAAAAATCTACCAGACCACCGGGAAATCGCCAGATACCCGGAGAACAGTGGAAAACAACATCGTTGACAGCAGATTGAAATAACGATACTACAATCCCGTCTTTTGTGTCTCGTTTTTAAAAGTGCTTTTAGAAAGCTTTACGATTCATTTGTTGATAGTTTGTTGTCGGAATATGCCTTTAAGTGAAAGCTCCCAACCTATTCAGCGCTTTGTTGCCATATTAGTGGTTGCGTTATTATTTTCTGTTACGTTGTATTAACGTCTTTGTTGTTTGTTTATACTCTTGTGCCGCTTGGAGTGATTCCTGTGTCATGTCAGCAGATGTTTTACATTGCTTGTCAAGCCGGCGCAGACAGAGAGTGGGGAAATACACTCAAATCGGGACACGTTCTACAATTTAGCGGGATGAACAATGGGCCACTCAACGCAGACTCACAATACATGACTGTAAGTTCCCATGAAACTTGCCAAGTGTAATTCGAAATTCGAGCTAGATTGTTTTTTCAATAAAAATTAAACAAACCCCCCACCTGTTGCCAAATGCATAGTTATATCGAGAGCCTACGCAATTTCATATCAGTCAATAACACCAGGAAGAAAATAACTGTCGTCTTTACGTCGTTTTTTTTATTATTTATTAACGTTCTTCGTTAAATGCTTTCATTTTCTTTAAAAACGTCCTTTTCGAAGTATGTGCTGTAATAATTTTCTCTCCAGATATGTGTAAGCCATTGTAGCGTACATGGCTATGGTATTCCTCGCATACACCCCGTGTACTGTGTGTTTATACCACGCTACAATATACTATAGAGTCTATGTTTTATCGCATTCCTACTCATACCCACAGCGCCAAACGTGTTCATTTCAGGTGAACAACTCTCCGATCATATTTGCTCAAATATTATTGTTGTTCGTTATTCTAATATTGACTCTGCTTATTAGACGTGACATGATTGGCCGACGATTCGTCGCGACGTCTAGTCATTTTAATTTGATCACAAAACGATCCGGGTTAAATTTGGACGGGAATTCATATATTTTAAGATAATACTTACATACATACGTATGTATGTATGTTATGTCTACTCCCAACTAAATTGAAATGTTTTGTCCTTGCTAGACGTGTTTTTTTTTTTTTTTCTCAAGAAAAATACGCGAATGCTGTACATTGTGTAACGTGTCTATTCCGCGTAATATGGTGGCGCCATATTTACTGCCCATACACTTCAACTGAATATGTGGCCATGTCGAGAGTGGAGAACATTGATTTCATATCGCATTTCAGCATATAATTGGTCTATTTTAATCACGTGTCAAATATAGAAAAAATATATTGCGAACATATCTGAAACTCGCTCTCTGTGAAATTGTGTATTTTTTTCAATAAAACAAACTGTCTACCCGACCATGCTAGTACGACACGCACGTCCGGATTATTTTATACTCCTTTCAGATGCACGCGTTGTTTTTTTGATCACGACGACGACTACATAATGTAAACGTGGTCAATTTATTAAAATATGTACGTAATTCTTACAGAAATTTGACAAGGGTTCAATAAAATGTGTTTTGTAGCAGCATTTGGAGCATTTCAATTAAGACGTGGGTTTGGTATGAATGACATAAAAACACAGCTCGTGGCGCTTTGTAGTAACTAAATAAAATCACTCTATTTATTGTGAATTACAATACATGTACAGTGCTTAATTATTCACTGGGTTTTATTTTAGCTTATTTCCAAAGTGATTAAACCAAAGTGATTAACAACATAATGTATTGTTTTCTTAACAAACCGCTCAGTTTAAAACTTAGTGAGTATTCTTGCGAAATAAATATATGTGACTGTGTTGCTTGTTTGTTTGGATGCAAAATAGTTTGTATATAAATTAATCAGATTGTACAGTGAATTTCACGAAGGCATTAATATTTATTTTAATAATGTATATCAAAAAACATAAATAGTAAATAACGGTTGGAATGAAGCTGACCAGTATTTACTATCTTTCACTCGAACGGTAGTAAAACGAATTTGAATTAAATGAAGCGCGAGGGTATTCCGGATAAATGTTTGATAAATATCTTATATATTTGCACACAAAAAATCATGCCTTTATGAATTTCGTATTTATGAATTTATGTATTTACTTATGTAGTGATGCGAGATAAAGTCACATCATTGCCACTAGATGGCGCTATTATCCATACAATCTGTCCCGCAGAAGCTATCACGTCACAGCGGCAAAGGAATTTAAAACGCGGTAGTCGTAGCGCTGCGCATGTGCGACATTTGTGTTGATAAACATTGACTTTCCCAAAATCGAATGCGCTCTTCAAATGAAAATCACAAGTATGAGGTTTGACCTGGGCGCGACTTGCACTGATTGCCGCCGGTGACTCCTTCGATACTTTCCAATAACATGAAAATTACTTAATTAAAGCTTGGAAACGTC